ATCCAATTAATATTTAATTTTATCAAATTAGTGTCATATTAATATTTCAAATTAATATTTAGTTAGACCAAATTAACTTTCAATTTTATGAATTTAACATTCTATTTTGTCAAATCATTCAAGTTCATCAAACTAACATGAATTGACCTTAAATTTCATCAAATAAACATGTGAAAATTGAAAGTAAGTCTCCTTAGATGTACTTGTTTGGAGATAAGTCCTGTAAGGAAACTTATAAGGGGCTAAATTCATATTTAAAATTATATGTAATGACTTAACTCAACTTTTTTTTTAATATCAAAAATACCCTTCTTTGAAAGGAAGTTAATGTTTTCTCTCTTATATTTATCTATATCCATATATAGGTTAAGAGTTTGATTAATATTAAAATTTTCTCTTAATATATATATATATATATTAACATTAAAAAATATAGTAATATTTAAATACAAAAAAAAATTACTATGAATTTGAATAGTAAAATTTAAATTCATGTTACTATTTTTTTATTATATTACTGTTTATGTTACTGTTTTTGTTGAGTATGTTACTGTTCATGTACTATTATTTTTGAACATATTACTGTTTTTGTTGAACATGTTACTACTATTATTTTCTTAAATATTAATATTCAATGTTACTATTTTTTTTCTTTGAATATTACTATTTTTTGTATTTGAATGATACTATTTTTTACGTTTGAATTTGAGAGAAATAATTTTTGTTAAATATGTTATAATTTTTGTTAAACATGTTACTATTTTTGTTAAACATGTTAATATTTTTGTTGAACATGTTACTGTTGTTATTTTTTTAAAATATTAATATTGATTGTTTCAATTTTTTTTATGTTTAAATGTTATTATTTTTTTGTGTTTAAATGTATTATTTTTTGTGTCCAAATGATAACTTTTTTTTGTATTTGAATGTTACTATTTTTTATTTTTAATGTTACTATATATATATATAAATAAATATATAAGAGAGGAAAAATTTTAATGTTAGTCAAACTCTTAACCTATATATGGATATAGATAGATATGAGAGAGAACAAATTTTAATGTTAGTCATACTCCTAAGATTTAGGAGTTTTTAATTTTTAGTTTTATTTCACTACTAAAGGAAAGGGATAATATGATAAAATTGATAAAAAATAGACTTCATAACAAATATGTTTCATTGACGGACTTAAGTCCATATAGAGGAATCGGCCTCCAAATTTCTCAATAAACATTAAGTAATCATGTCCTTAAACTACTTATAAAAAGCATTATTATTTAAACAGAGTTTAAGCACATCAAAAATAATTTGTTTTCCCAATAAATAAGTCAGTGCAAAAGATCCCATTATTGTAGATGGTGGGTGAAAAATGGAGAAGATGACCAAAAATTTGAAGCCTCACTCGTTTAGAGGCCAATGCAGCCAGGAACATGAATGGACAGTGGCATCTAATCAATAGTAGTTCTGGTCATTCATTCACTCAATAGTATCCTTGTTGCATTATGATGACATAAATAAGCCCAATGAACAAGTAACTAGTATTGTGCTTCATATGGACCAAATCCAGTGAATTTTCAGCTTGAAAAGGCAAGAAACTCCAGGGTGCTCTCAAGATCTGGAGTCCCCACTTCACAGATGTCTTGAACTATGTCGGGGCATAATCCATTTTCTCCCACATAATATAACCAGCCCTTTTTAGTCATTGACCCACCATTTTTGTTCACAACAAACTAAAAATAGATGGTCTTGCTCGAAAAAAATTCACAGAATGTCTCAATATAGATAGGCCTAGGAGGCCATGGGAAATAAAGGCCAAACACTAAACTGATAATTAAAGAAAGGATCATATTTGATGTGCATAAAGGAAAACACACACACAGCCGAATTACAGATCCTCCGATTCTCAAAACAATCACATCAACAAAAAACAAAACCAACTCTACAAGGCTCCATCAGTTCAAAAACAAAAACAATTAGTTTCCTGGTACCTTTGCAAGGAAGAGGGGAAATCAACCCAGCTTCAGACTCGAGGCATTTAGTCCTAACAAACTACAACCCTCAAAACGCAAGAAAACTAAAACCCTAGGACTCAACCAGAACCAACATAGAGCCTTGTATCACAGCCGAAAGCTTCAAGCTTTTACAGAAGCAATGTGGACGATCAAGTCAATCACACGGGAGCTGCAGAAACCAAGAAAAGAAGTCAGTCAACAATATATCGTTGAAGATGTGAAAGCCTGTGATCACATACAGATATGATCCATCGGGGTAAGAGAGGTTCACACCAAGCAAATTAAAAGTGACAACAATATACAAAGACAAGTTCACATTACCTATAACCCCATTCATTGTCATACCACGCAACCAGTTTCACAAAGTTTGCATTCAGAGCAATCCCAGCCTTAGCATCAAAGATGCTTGACCTACATCAAGTGAACCACAAACACATAAATATTACATAGATTTCTTTGGTTCCGTNTTAAATGTTATTATTTTTTTGTGTTTAAATGTATTATTTTTTGTGTCCAAATAATAATTTTTTTTTGTATTTGAATGTTACTATTTTTTATTTTTAATGTTACTATATATATATATAAATAAANTAGCATCAAAGATGCTTGACCTACATCAAGTGAACCACAAACACATACATATTACATTTTTCTATAGTTCCATGCCTGCAATTGTTAAGCAATCTAGGCAAACAAAAATTTCTGTGTGCAATCATCACCTGTTGTNTATATATATATATAAATAAATATATAAGAGAGGAAAAATTTTAATGTTAGTCAAACTCTTAACCTATATATGGATATAGATAGATATGAGAGAGAACAAATTTTAATGTTAGTCATACTCCTAAGATTTAGGAGTTTTTAATTTTTAGTTTTATTTCACTACTAAAGGAAAGGGATAATATGATAAAATTGATAAAAAATAGACTTCATAACAAATATGTTTCATTGACGGACTTAAGTCCATATAGAGGAATCGGCCTCCAAATTTCTCAATAAACATTAAGTAATCATGTCCTTAAACTACGTATAAAAAGCATTATTATTTAAACAGAGTTTAAGCACATCAAAAATAATTTGTTTTCCCAATAAATAAGTCGGNCTCTGACTCCTCCCTGGGAACAACCAAGGAACAGAATGAAAATCAAACGATAACCATGGGGAACATTACACTGCTCATCAAAGGTGGTAGTAAACTGAAAAAAATTCATCAAGAAAAGGAAAANTTGCCCTCTGACTCCTCCCTGGGAACAACCAAGGAACAGAATGAAAATCAAACGATAACCACGGGGAACATTACACTGCTCATCAAAGGTGGTAGTAAACTGAAAAAAATTCATCAAGAAAAGGAACANAAAAATAATTTGTTTTCCCAATAAATAAGTCAGTGCAAAAGATCCCATTATTGTAGATGGTGGGTGAAAAATGGAGAAGATGACCAAAAATTTGAAGCCTCACTCGTTTAGAGGCCAATGCAGCCAGGAACATGAATGGACAGTGGCATCTAATCAATAGTAGTTCTGGTCATTCATTCACTCAATAGTATCCTTGTTGCATTTTGATGACATAAATAAGCCCAATGAATAAGTAACTAGTATTGTGCTTCATATGGACCAAATCCAGTGAATTTTCAGCTTGAAAATGCAAGAAACTCCAGGGTGCTCTCAAGATCTGGAGTCCCCACTTCACAGATGTCTTGAACTATGTCGGGGCACAATCCATTTTCTCCCACATAATATAACCAGCCCTTTTTAGTCATTGTCCCACCATTTTTGTTACACAACAAACTAAAAATAGATGGTCTTGCTCGAAAAAAATTCACAGAATGTCTCAATATAGATAGGCCTAGGAGGCCATGGGAAATAAAGGCCAAACACTAAACTGATAATTAAAGAAAGGATCATATTTGATGTGCATAAAGGAAAACACACACACAGCCGAATTACAGATCCTCCTATTCTCAAAACAATCACATCAACAAAAAACAAAACCAACTCTACAAGGCTCCATCAGTTCAAAAACAAAAACAATTAGTTTCCTGGTACCTTTGCAAGGAAGAGGGGAAATCAACCCAGCTTCAGACTCGAGGCATTTAGTCCTAACAAACTACAACCCTCAAAACGCAAGAAAACTAAAACCCTAGGACTCGACCAGAACCAACATAGAGCCTTGTATCACAGCCGAAAGCTTCAAGCTTTTACAGAAGCAATNATATATAAGAGAGGAAAAATTTTAATGTTAGTCAAACTCTTAACCTATATATGGATATAGATAGATATGAGAGAGAACAAATTTTAATGTTAGTCATACTCCTAAGATTTAGGAGTTTTTAATTTTTAGTTTTATTTCACTACTAAAGGAAAGGGATAATATGATAAAATTGATAAAAAATAGACTTCATAACAAATATGTTTCATTGACGGACTTAAGTCCATATAGAGGAATCGGCCTCCAAATTTCTCAATAAACATTAAGTAATCATGTCCTTAAACTACTTATAAAAAGCATTATTATTTAAACAGAGTTTAAGCACATCAAAAATAATTTGTTTTCCCAATAAATAAGTCAGTGCAAAAGATCCCATTATTGTAGATGGTGGGTGAAAAATGGAGAAGATGACCAAAAATTTGAAGCCTCACTCGTTTAGAGGCCAATGCAGCCAGGAACATGAATGGACAGTGGCATCTAATCAATAGTAGTTCTGGTCATTCATTCACTCAATAGTATCCTTGTTGCATTATGATGACATAAATAAGCCCAATGAACAAGTAACTAGTATTGTGCTTCATATGGACCAAATCCAGTGAATTTTCAGCTTGAAAAGGCAAGAAACTCCAGGGTGCTCTCAAGATCTGGAGTCCCCACTTCACAGATGTCTTGAACTATGTCGGGGCATAATCCATTTTCTCCCACATAATATAACCAGCCCTTTTTAGTCATTGACCCACCATTTTTGTTCACAACAAACTAAAAATAGATGGTCTTGCTCGAAAAAAATTCACAGAATGTCTCAATATAGATAGGCCTAGGAGGCCATGGGAAATAAAGGCCAAACACTAAACTGATAATTAAAGAAAGGATCATATTTGATGTGCATAAAGGAAAACACACACACAGCCGAATTACAGATCCTCCTATTCTCAAAACAATCACATCAACAAAAAACAAAACCAACTCTACAAGGCTCCATCAGTTCAAAAACAAAAACAATTAGTTTCCTGGTACCTTTGCAAGGAAGAGGGGAAATCAACCCAGCTTCAGACTCGAGGCATTTAGTCCTAACAAACTACAACCCTCAAAACGCAAGAAAACTAAAACCCTAGGACTCGACCAGAACCAACATAGAGCCTTGTATCACAGCCGAAAGCTTCAAGCTTTTACAGAAGCAATGTGGACGATCAAGTCAATCACACGGGAGCTGCAGAAACCAAGAAAAGAAGTCAGTCAACAATATATCGTTGAAGATGTGAAAGCCTGTGATCACATACAGATATGATCCATCGGGGTAAGAGAGGTTCACACCAAGCAAATTAAAAGTGACAACAATATACAAAGACAAGTTCACATTACCTATAACCCCATTCATTGTCATACCACGCAACCAGTTTCACAAAGTTTGCATTCAGAGCAATCCCAGCCTTAGCATCAAAGATGCTTGACCTACATCAAGTGAACCACAAACACATAAATATTACATAGATTTCTTTGGTTCCATGCCTGCAATTGTTAAGCAATCTAGGCAAACAAAAATTTCTGTGTGCAATCATCACCTGTTGTCACCCACAAAATCGGTGGAGACCACATCATCCTCAGTGTACCCTAAGATACCTTTGAGTTTGCCCTCTGACTCCTCCCTGGGAACAACCAAGGAACAGAATGAAAATCAAACGATAACCATGGGGAACATTACACTGCTCATCAAAGGTGGTAGTAAACTGAAAAAAATTCATCAAGAAAAGGAAAATTTCCAGTGACTGCTGGTCAGTAATAACTTAAACAATGAGAGACTACCCAATCATGCCCATAAAATCACAAAGAAGCTTACTTAATCGCAACTTTGATCTCATCATAGGTGGCCGCCTTCTCAAGTCGTACAGTAAGGTCCACCACTGAAACATCCACAGTTGGAACTCGGAAGGCCATTCCAGTCAACTTTCCATTCAGGGCTGGCAGAACTTTACCAACAGCCTATTTAAAAAAAATGGCATTGTGTTTGTGAAAAAGATCAAGACCAAACTATGCAGCAAAGAGATTTGAACTAATATATTTATGAAGTATATAAGTCTTAAGAAGTTGGCTCTCTGGTCCCAAACATGGTCAGCAATGAAAATGTGAACAATGTGGCCAAAGTTAAACTATTGGACAATACTGATACAAAACCAATGAGAAAATGTATAATAGCAAACCCTTAATCACATCTCATGAGAATGACATTCTGTAATGTATTATATACCTTGGCAGCACCAGTGCTGCTGGGAATGATGTTAAATGAAGCAGCTCTTCCACCTCTCCAGTCCTTCATTGATGGACCATCAACAGTCTTCTGAGTGGCTGGACCACATATTGGTATACATCAAATTAGAACCAACTTCCCATTTCATTTGGACAAATAACAATATATAACTCGCCATGTCAACAACCACTCACCAGTAATAGAATGCACAGTGGTCATGAGGCCCTCAACAATGCCAAATCTATCGTTAATAACCTGCAAGATTTTAAGGTGGAAAGCATAAGTAATTCATCAAGTTCGCAAGTGAAGCCAGTCAGAAACAGTAGAATGGTTCTCATAAAACCTTGGCAAGGGGAGCAAGACAGTTGGTAGTGCAGCTAGCATTGGAGACAATGTCAAGCTCGGGCTTATATTCCTTCTCATTGACTCCGACAACAAACATGGGAGCATCCTTGCTGGGAGCAGAAATGACAACTTTCTTTGCACCTCCCTAATCACAACAAACAGTCCAAGTCAAAATTCCATCTACTACAAGCAGATGCAAAAACTTCACAATCCAAATCAATAAACATCCTAGCTCTAACACAAATAACCATCCAATTTTATCCATTATATTAATGTAGTGAACCAGTCAAACCAATAGAAAAATCAATCATAATAACATAGAAATTGTACTGGTATTGAAAAGAAGCCCTCTAGGCCCAAAACAAATTTGGCCAAATATAACTTACTATAGCAAATAAAAACTAAAACTAAATCAAATAAGGATCCACAATGACTAAATCTCGTTAAAATCCTCTGTTTTGTAGAGAAAAACCCCAAGATCTTTAAATTAATATCACCAAATCTACCAAGTAAGATCAACAGAGTGTGACTGAATTCCTCGAAATTTATCACATACACTACTGGAAACATATTTAATCAAATATCACCAGATATGGCTTAAATCAACTCATATAACAAATCTCAAATGCAAATAAAGTAAATAAACAAGAAATGAGATCAGAGCACACCTTCAAATGGGCAGCAGCCTTGTCCTTGTCAGTGAAAACTCCAGTAGACTCCACAACAAAATCAGCACCGGTTTCACCCCATGGGATCTCCTCAGGGTTCCTAAAAGATCACACATAAGCAAACAGTTTTAGACAAATCCTCCCAAAATTTATATAGTAAAAGATCAAGTGTTCTCATGAAATTGTACCTGATTCCAAATACTGTGACTGATTTCTCACCAAAAAGAAGGGTCTTCTCGTCCTTGACCTTAACCTCATGATGCTTCCACTGGCCATGAACAGTGTCATACTTGAACATATACGTCTGCACACATAGAGTATTACAAATCACAACCAATATATATAACCAACACAAATCTTAAAATTTGCCCAAAAAAAAGAAACATAGGCAGTACCATGTAGTCAGTGGAGATGAAGGGATCATTAACAGCAACAAGCTCAACATCGTCTCTTTGCAGAGCAACTCTAGCAACCAAACGACCGATCCTTCCAAACCCTAAAAGATTTCACAAAGAAAACTCATCATGCAATCAATGATCATAAACCCATTTCCAAAATAACAAAATCTAAATAACAGAAACAGAAACAAGTACCATTGATTCCGATCTTGATCTTCTTATCAGAAGCCATTGACTTTAGAGATATAAAAAACAAAAAAGCTTAGAGAAAGAAAATGAGGGCTGAGAAAAGCAGATTGAGAGGGCTGAGAAAAGCAGATTGAGAGGGCTTTGAAGAGGAAATGAGAGTGAGTAGAGCAATGGTGATTAGGGGTGTATTTAAAGGGGGATAAAGACGAATTAGCGGCGGATTAGTCGAACCGATGGGTGGGTGTGATTGGTACAGTTGGTGGTTTTCTTTTTTTCTTTCTGTGCCTCGGGGAAAAAGAAAGAAATACTACCAACAAAACTGCTTGACAAGCCGGCTGATTTTGCTCCACGTATCAAAATGGAAAACTTCAATTGGTGTTGATCTGTGTCGCGTTTATATTAATATTAAATTAGAAAAAATAAATAGAATATATAAAATATCTTTTTTCTGCCAATCATGCCATTTTTAATAAGGGACAGTCGTGATATTTTGGGAACTAAAGCTGTAATTGAAATAGATATCTTTTATTTTTAAAAATAATATTTTATTTATAATTTACCTTCTCTTTTTTTCAGATGTAAAAGTATTAATTAAATTTTTATATTCAAATTTCGTTATCATTTTTTTTTAACCGATGCTAGACTTTCACCTATAATTTTTGTTACATTTTTTTTGTTACTAGTAACAAATTTATCAAAAAATTATTTTTGAGATTCTGTCATTTTATCTCTTTTTTTTTTTTAGCTTTCCATATTCACCCGATTATTTTATACTTGTCATATTATATAATATCAACTAAAAAATCACAAATAATTAATAATTAAACACAATCTATAATAAATAATATATTGAAAGCTTAAAATAAAAAAATTCAAAGACATAGAATAAAAGGATCTGATTTGTTATTATTTTTCATTTTTCCTCAAAATTCGATTTATCACTGTAGTTATGCCACCAACTATCCGAGCTTCGCCATTAGAGAATAAACTTTATGCTTTTTGTTATGTAAAAAGGCAATAGATAAACAAAGGCAGAGTCAAAATCAAAAAAAAAAAAAAAAAAAGGCAGAGTATCCTTTATTAGAGATAGAGAGAGAGAGTGCTTGAGAGAATTTTATTTTTCTTTTTAAAATTATGATACAAAGTAACTCCTGAGTTAACATCTATTTTTTACCGTTATTTTTTTTCTTCTTTTTTTTTTTGTGTCATGGGTTGGAGAAATAGACCCAAATTATTTAATTTAAATCTAACTTTAACTTCTTTGTTGAGTTTAAATTTGTATAAGTTAAATTTTTTATTTGACCCAATGGTTATAACTACAAATTAAAAAAAAAAAAAAAAAAAGGATCTAAAGCCCAAGTTTTAATTTGACAAATAAAAAAAAGTTTAGGTTTTGATTACTTTACATTAGGATCGACCCTATTTTCAATTCATATCAGGTTGAATTCGTATCCATGGATAAATTTGAGAGACCTAATTTTAACTCAACACTCTTGACTTGAAATTCTTTCTAATTTATCCAATAGATACATGATTTTTCTTTTTTCCCCTTGAACAACCTCTTGTTAATTATAGTTGTTCTACTTATTGAAAAAAACCACTTATTTTTTTACCTAATAAAAGATGACATATATAATTACTAGTTATTTTTCATGTCTGAGGGTACGGAGTAATAAGAAAAATAGTTAAAAATAAATATATTTGTATTCACACTCAAAACTAAATCACAAACATAGAGGAGAGATGACAGAATTTAAGTACCGGTTACAGTGAGAGTGAGCGATAGTAGTGGTGGTGGGCGGCAATGGAGGTGGTGGGAGACAGTGATGGTTATAGTGGGTGGCGATAACCGTAGTAGTAGTGGCAGCCGTGAGTGACAACGGTGATGATGGTGGATTTTGGGTGATGATGGTGGTAATAGTAGTCATGGGTGACGATGGTGGTAGTGGTAGTCATGGATAACAGTGGTGGTGGTGGTGGGTGTGGGTGTAGGTAATGGTTGATATTGGCTAACTATGATGGTTGGCGACAACAGATGTTGGTGGGAGCTAAAAGTGGGTGATGTGGTACTGGGATGATAGTAGTAATGGTAATAAAAATAAGAATGAGATTATGAGAATAGTATGTGGTAGCAATCGGTGATAGGGGTGATAGTAGGGCAGTGGCGGTGGTGGTGGGGATGATGACGGTAGTGATGGTGGTGGGGTGACAACGATGGTGGTGATAGTGGTTATGGTCGTGGGGTCGGGGTCGGGGTGGGGTTGGTAAAGGTAATGGTAGTATAGTAGCGGCGGTGATAGGGTAGCGGTAGCGATGGTGGTGATTGTTGTGGTGGTGGGGTGGTGGTGGTAGTGGTTGTGGGGGTAGTGGTTGTGAGGATAAGGTGGTGGTGGGGCGGCGGTGGTGGTGGTGGTAGGTGTGGGTGGTGGTTGATACTGGCTAACTACGAAGATTGGCGACGACGAATGTTGGTGGGTTGTGGTAGTGGGTGCTAAAAGTGGGCATCGTGGTACTGGGATAATGGTAGTAGTGGTAACAAATATAAGAATGAGATGATGAGAGTAGTATATGGTAGCAATCGGTGATAGGGGCAGTAGNAACATAGGCAGTACCATGTAGTCAGTGGAGATGAAGGGATCATTAACAGCAACAAGCTCAACATCGTCTCTTTGCAGAGCAACTCTAGCAACCAAACGACCGATCCTTCCAAACCCTAAAAGATTTCACAAAGAAAACTCATCATGCAATCAATGATCATAAACCCATTTCCAAAATAACAAAATCTAAATAACAGAAACAGAAACAAGTACCATTGATTCCGATCTTGATCTTCTTATCAGAAGCCATTGACTTTAGAGATATAAAAAACAAAAAAGCTTAGAGAAAGAAAATGAGGGCTGAGAAAAGCAGATTGAGAGGGCTTTGAAGAGGAAATGAGAGTGAGTAGAGCAATGGTGATTAGGGGTGTATTTAAAGGGGGATAAAGACGAATTAGCGGCGGATTAGTCGAACCGATGGGTGGTTTTCTTTTTTTCTTTCTGTGTCTCGGGGAAAAAGAAAGAAATACTACCAACAAAACTGCTTGACAAGCCGGCTGATTTTGCTCCACGTATCAAAATGGAAAACTTCAATTGGTGTTGATCTGTGTCGCGTTTATATTAATATTAAATTAGAAAAAATAAATAGAATATATAAAATATCTTTTTTCTGCCAATCATGCCATTTTTAATAAGGGACAGTCGTGATATTTTGGGAACTAAAGCTGTAATTGGTGGTAGTGGTTATGGTCGTGGAGTCGGGGTGGGGGTGGGGTTGGTAAAGGTAATGGTAGTATAGTAGCGGCGGTGGTAGGGTAGCGATAGCGATGGTGGTGGTTGTTGTGGTGGTGGGGTGGTGGTGGTAGTGGTTGTGGGGGTAATGGTGATGGGGATAAGGTGGTGGTGGGGTGGCAGTAGTGGTGGTGGTGGTGGGGTCGTGGTTGTGCTGGTGATGGTGATGGTGATGGGATGGCGGTGGCGATGGTGGTGGTGGCAAAGGTTGTTGTGGGGTGGCGGCAACGGTGTGGTGGTGGTGGTGGTGGGGCTGCGGCAGGAAACAATGGTGGTTGGGTGGTGACAACAGTGGTAGTGATGGTGGTGGTGGTGGTGATGGTGATGAAGGGGTCGTGGTTGTGATGGTGATGGTGATGGTGATGGTGATGGGGTGGTAGTGGTGGTGGCAGTTGCGGTGGTTGTGGTGGCAAAGGTGGTTATGGGGTGGCGGCAATGGTGTGATGGCGGTACTGGTGATCGTGGTGGGGCGGTGGAGGTGGTTGTGATAGTGGTGATCGTGGTGGGATGGTTCCAAACACTACTCTTTTTTTAAAGTACTTATAAGAAGTTATAAGTTAGTTATAAGTTTTAAAGACATTTTTAAAAATTGCCTCAAACACACATTTCGGATCCTATTTTTACTATTAAATTTGATNGGTGATCATGGTGGGATGGTTCCAAACACTACTCTTTTTTTAAAGTACTTATAAGAAGTTATAAGTTTTAAAGACATTTTTAAAAATTGTCTCAAACACACCTTTCGAATCCTATTTTTACTATTAAATTTGGTGTATTAATAGTAGCCGTCGGATTAACTTTAAAGTAAAATTTAAACAAATCGCACCCGCGAAAATCAAAAGTCATTTTGTTTATCTTTTGAAAATTGAATTGTATTATACTTTGTTACGCAGATTATTTGTTTAATTAATGATAGTATAATTCGAAATCAACGACTAGAGATGCATCTCAACAGGCGAACTGAACCGAAAAAATGTTATGGGGCTAAACTGAACTGAAAAAATATTTGGTGTAACGGTGACATCACGTCACCATTGCTATGTAGTGTTATTTTTCTAGAATAAACTTACAAGTGGATAAAGTGAACTCCACTTAATTGTTATCACATGACATGAAGAAGTGATTAATAAAAGGGAAAATATCATTTTATCTCCTAAAAGATACAAAAAAAAATTTGTTTGTCCTCGAATGATTAATTTTTCCACCTTGCCCCCCCCCTTAAAAATATAAAAACGTTATAATGTAGTCCAAAAACTTTACAATAAAAACGTTTTTGAATCACATTACAAATTTTTATTTCTTTGATGGGGATAATGTAAAAAAATTAATCATTCGAGGACAAACTGAGAATTTTTGTAACTTTTAGAGGACAAAATGAGATTTTCTCTTAATAAAATATGTGGGATCCACTTGCTGATTTGTAAGTTTATTATAGAATGATGACAACACGTGACAATAGTGACGTAATGTCACTGTTATGCCTAATATTTTCTCGAAGATTTCTCTAATTATGGATTAAGCATTGTGATAAGCCCAGATTCAGCTGTGTCCAAGCCCAACTAATGAGATAGGCTCACATCAGCTAAAAGAAAGGTCAAGCCCAACTCATGGAGTTCGGCCTAGTCCAGAAGTCTAAGAGACCAAAAAGGATCAACGCACATGGGGAATAATTACCGGGATACCCATTACTCAGAGATCAACACCATATNTGGAACTGTGGGACATGAGCCCTGCTAGTAGAGCCAAGGCACCGCCATGCCTCCGGCGTAGCCTGCCTCTATTCGGTGCCCACTCAATAAGAATTGACCTGGG